ACCGGCTGGGCGCAGATCAATGGCTGGCGCGGCGAGACCGACACCGTTGAGAAGCTGACAGCCCGCGTCGATCACGATCTTTACTACATCGAAAACTGGTCGATCCTGCTCGATCTCTACATTCTGGTGATGACGCCTTTCAGTCTGTTCAATTCAGAGAACGCCTACTGAGGGGTCGACATGAACCATGGTGTGCTGCGAATCGCCGGTCTTGCCGTCGTCACCTTTGTCGGTGTGCCGGCGATCGCTGAAACCGACCCGGTCGACGCCGAATTCTGCATCGAGTGTGTGCAGGTACGGGTCGGGCCGCCCGTTGTCGTGCGAGGACCATTCCCCGACGAACTCGATGCGCCCTTCACCGCCTTGCGACTCGCAGACGGATCGTTCCGCGGGTTCAGCGCGAACGGCTCGACCTATGCCATTGAAGGGGCCAGCCTCTTGGACCTGGATGGCCCTCGCCGGGAGGTTCTGCGGGCGGGCAATTCCGGGCAGGAGAGCGAGTGCGGACGCTGGCTGACCTCTGCGGTGCGGTCGGAGAACGCGGTTCTCGGCTTTGTGCACCAGGAAAGCATTTGCGATTATGGCCCCCAGGGCCAGACCGACAAGACGATGGCCATCGCGACATCGTCTGACGACGGGCTGACATGGATCGATCTGGGCACAGTCATCAGCGGACGGGATTCGCCACGGCCGGGAACAACCTCCGGCGAGGGTGACTGCACAATGGTCGACGGGACGGATGGCTATCTTTACGCCTACTGCCTGCGAAACTCCGACTGGCAGACAATCGTTGCCCGGGCCCGGGCGACCGAACCGGCGGTGTGGCACAAATTCTACCAGGGCGACTGGACTGAACCGGGACTGGACGGCGAGGCGACGGCTATCGGCTTTTTGGGGCCGGGCGCAGGCTACCTTCAGCAACACGACCGGGTTGCCACCGTTACCAACGATCCCTGGTTCGGCGGGGTGCGGTTGTCATTTTCGGCCGACGGGGTTTCGTTCGTGGACCTTGAAGAGCCACTTATCGCCGTTGACGGTTCTGACTGGAACCGCCCGGCCGACACCGATCTGATCGCCTATGTCACCATCTTGAACCCCGAAACCGGAAGCAACGCCGTCAATGATCGGTTCTTGCTGAGCTACGTCTATGTGCCCCCCGGAAAGGGGTTCGAAAACCGCTATCTTGTCCATCACGAGGTGGCGCTGTCGATCGAGACCGCGCCGGTTCCCGTTCAGTCCAGCCTGGCGCTGACCCGCTGGGCCGACCCCACCCAAGAGGCTTACCTCGCGTCCTCCGGGCCATTGACGGGCGAGAGACTCGGGTACCGGCAAGACAGCATTGTGGCCTATTTGATGACCCGCGCGCCCGACGGCGCGGCCAGCGTCAAGGTCGCCGAGTGTTCAAGAGATTGGTCCGGGCAACTGGGCCATCAGCTCGCCGAGGATGACGGGTGTGGAAACGGCTATGTCCGTCAGCGGACGGCGGGCTGGCTCTATCGGGACGAGCAGCCGGGCACGGTGCCCGTCTATCGCTGCATCAGCGAAACAAGGCAAAGCCATTTTGCTTCAAGCAAACCGGACTGTGAGGGGCTTGGTGTCATGGAATTTCGGCTTGGCTATGGATTTGCCCCATGAGCGGAAGCATGCAGTCATACAGCGGCCCTCTCAACTCGGGCTTGACGGTCAGTCTCAGGAATTTGAGACATGTCACTTTCTCAACGCGCAACCTGGTCTTTCTGATCGCCATATTGGCGATGAACTACACGCTTATGCGCCCCTCTCCCGTCGATCTGCTGTTCATCGGGTCGCTGCTGATCACCCTCTTGTACCTGACGGTATCTGAAACAACGGTGATCACACGCAGAGCGATCTATCTGATGCTGATTTTGGGCGCGTGGGCGGTGTCCTATTTCCTGGCCTCACTGCCTCATCTTGGCGAGGAATTCGTGGCCTTTGAGCTTTTGGCCAAGAGCTTTGCCATATCGATTGGCTTTATCGGTGGCGCCGTGTCGATGAGTTGGGGTCGCCAAAACTTCGAGACCTTCATCAAGATCTATGTCGTATCGTGCGTGATTGCCTCGATACTGGGGACTATCGGCTTTCTGATACAACATCCGTTGCTGACCTGGGACGGTCGCGCGAAGGGTTTGATCGACGACCCCAACATGTACGGGTCTTTCCTGATCCCGGGCCTTATTTTCTGCGCCTATCTGATACCGCGCGCTCGAATCAGCAAATGGCTTGTGCTTGGTGCCATGGGCATCATCCTGCTTGGCATCATGCTCTCCTTCTCGCGCATCGCGCTTGTCGCGGCGCTGCTTTGCCTGTTTGCCTACATTTTCTTTGAGAACCGCAAGCGGCCGCGGCGGCTGATCCTGATCGTTGGCGGGTTTTTGCTCGCTGGCCTCACGCTCTTTTTGATTGCCAGCCTCACCTCGGCCGATTTCACGGAAAAGCTTCTGGACCGCCTGACCTTCGCCAAGGCCTACGACCTTGGAGAGGATGGCAGATACGGACGCTATCTGCAGGTCTTGCCGATGATAATTCAGGATCCGATCGGGGTTGGCGTGCTCCAGCTCGAGAAAATCTTCCCCGAGCCCATCCACAACATCTGGTTGAGTTCGTTCGTCAACTATGGTTGGGGCGGTGGCATCGCCTGGGTCACGCTGGTCGTCGGAAGCTTCGTGGTGTCCATACGCAACTATCGGCGAACGCGCGAGCCGATCGTTATCGCCCTGTTGTGGTCGCTGATCGGCGTTATCCTGTGCGCCTCGCTGCACGAGGGCGAACACTGGCGCCATATGTGGCTGATGTTCGGAATGA